TTTTTATTTATTAAAGTAGACAAATATATTTTTCTTATTTTAACATTATCCTTATTATGAAAAGGGGAAAGTGTTAAGCAAGCAAAAGGAAAAAAACATTGTCAAAATAAATAAAAATTTCTATGAAATTAAGAAGAAAAATACATTAAAATTATGTTGTTGTGATAAACTCCAATTAAGAAAAACTAAAATAACTTATTTTTAAAACTTGTATAAAATTAAATTTTTAATGATACTTTATTGTACAACATAATTTTAAAGTATTTTCTCTTTATTTTTTTAAAATTTATAAACACTAATCTTGAATTTTAAAGAATTGGAAATTAATATATACATATTAGAATGGGTTTTATAATTTATAATGAGTTTTATATTTTATAATTTGAACAATTATAAACTGTAAAAAAATTACTAAAACAAGAAAATAATGCTCAATATCAAAAGTTTATTCCTATTTAATAATTCATATTTTAATAATTCGATCGCATCAAACACATGAAATCCTCCAGCGAATTGGGTCGGAGGGTACCATGGTAAAATAGTGGTGGTGCTTTGGCATTCAGCGTACTGGACACATGCCCCACCCCACACCTGTCTCTTATACAAGAGAACCCCCACAAAGAGAATTATTTCCCTTTTCAAGTAATCAGAAAATTTTGTTCAAGGATGAATAAGCAGAATTAGCTAATCAATGGTAATTATCTGATCAAAAGAATGAAAAATGAAATTTGATTTTGATAATTAATTATGGCATTTCATTTATCATATCAATTTATAATATGTGTCTCATTTTAAAGATCAAAAGCCTCACCGATTTGCATGTTCATAATTATAACTATTAAAAAATGATCACGTTGCATTTAGAAAATTATCCATTAAAAGAATGAGTCATCAAGAAGTGTCAAGATGATACATTTTGTGCTTCCCATTTGTTGAATTACAGCCTGCACTGTAGACTTCGAGCATCAGAACTACACAATAATAACTAGCAAGTGCAAGGGACCTCAGTACCATGCCAACCTCTGCTGTGAAGCTCTCAAGGAATTTGCGTGCCCTTCCGCAGAGGACATCAATGATCTCTCCACAAATTGTGCTGCGACCATGTTCAGCTATATCAATCTCTACGGGAAATACCCTCCAGGCCTCTTTGCTAGTCTGTGCCGCGAAGGACAAAATGGCCTTGAATGTAAGGATGAAAAGGCTGATCCTGCAGATGCGGCAACTACCAAGTCATCATTGCTAATGCTCACCTCTGCATTCCTAGTGTTATTCTTGCAATATTTCCTTTAAAGATCGGATGTGGAGATTTTCTTCTTTATCGACAATGGTTCCATAAAAAAGATTGGTTTCTGGTGATGTTTTTTCAAAATTTGTATGTTTATTATCAGCATTCTTTAATTAAAACCATGTCTCTCTGATGATATATGTAATCTTTCTACTCTTAATTACTTTCAAACAATGTAGACCTCAGTAAAACTGCTGTATAAGCAAACTGCGTTAGCACAATAAAATGCCTAGTATTTTTACAGGAAGTGTGGCTTTCAGAATCTGTATCTGTACTGATAAAGAAGTGGGTTTCTATATTGAATTCAAGTTAGTTATTTTCAGGCAAGATGGCATTGGTTAGATATAGCTGCAACGGAGTCCTCATGACCAACTCCAATCTTCAGGGAGTGAAAGAAGGGACATTTCATAAGATAAGACGGTGATTGAATTGGTAACAGCTTAAGCCTCTAACTTTGAGGTTTTAAGTTTGAATTTGAGACAAATGGAAAGTAACTTGAGGAAGGAAGAGATTATCATTTATTATATAACCCATTCATCAGATGTAGTAAAAAATTTATGATTCCTTTGGAATCTCTAATAATCTTCAAAACCAACCATATATTTTTGCAGTTTTCGCCACTGAGTAGCATGTGGTTGAAACGGACTCCTTTAAATTCCTCCAACCAAAATTATGAAACCACTTGGTCAGTTGCTCTTAATTCAGATAACTCATACTTTTCGCCTTTGGCCAAGAGATAAGGGGTATGTTTTCAAAGCAAACGGTGTGGAAAAGGGCTGAGGGAAGGTTCCCTCAGTGAAAAAAGCTGATTCCCCAATGAAATCAACATCAATAGGAGCGAAGCCAGAGAAAAGTAATCTGAATGCTAGTTGCAAAAAAGCGTGTTTGTGAACTTCACCTGTTGCATGTTCATGTCAACCACTTATAGAGAGGTCCGTATCACCACAGCTACTTTCCATTCTCCGAAATGAAAGATTAAAATCTTAAAAATTCTTCTAAATAGAAGAAACACCAAAAATGGAATTATTGTCCTTTCTTTCAAGCAATAGTTTACTCAATGATGGGATGTAAATTTAAACTTTAACCTTCTTAATATCTCAACTTGGATGATTCATTAATAAATTGAAAGTTTGAGACTTTTAAAATTAGAAACTTAAAAATTTTAAGTTCAAATTTTAAAATTGATTGAGAGATAGATTTAATAAATAAAATAATAATTTGTTATGATTTATGTATGTGTTATTTTATTTGGGATCATTTTGTGCATTGCACCCACCCCCACCAAAATATATATAAAATGTTATTGCTGCTGTCATATTTAGCAGTTCAATGAATAGAACACATCCTAATCCCCAAGCTAAGCATAAAATATCGACTAAAAAGGCTTAGTGGAAAATTGTTGACTGGAATTTCGAAGCATAGAATATCATTGTCATGCTTCATGCACCATTTTGAATAGTATCAGCAGCTCAATTCCGCATTTCTTTTCTAAGAGGCCCACATCTAACAAGTAGGAGAAAGGTTTTTAAGGAAAAGAAAAACAATAGAAGAAAGCCCTACACATAGAAGGGGAACTTCATAATTCTGTTGAAATTACCAGTGCAAAACTTGATACTAATATTACAATTGATCTCTCTTTGCTCTCTCAAAAGTTTTAAAATAAGCATGGTATGCAATAGAAACATCCATCTCCTTTTCTAAAACCCTCCCTATTTATACAAAAACTCAAACTTGATCTAAACTTCTTACTAGATAAGACATTTTTCAATTTTGTTTTAATGAAAACCTATGAAAAAGGGTAAAAAATAGATTAATAATGTAAGAATAAGTTGTGGTAAAGCCAAAAGACCAAAGCTTTATCTATGAGCAGTGACCAATGTTTCAATGAACCTCAATCCATCAAATCTTGGGGCAAATTTCTCGGTCAATACGGATTGTTTAGTTCCAGAACTTTCCTCATTTTTCTTCACCTACAAAATTACACACACAAACATTACATATTATATTGAATTTCCACAAAAGGGGTGGCCTTAATTTTTTAAAACTAAAATAATAGAACTTCATACCAAATTATGAATAAAAGCTCTACAAATATTGTGAAACAGAGAAAAATTGAAAAATTTTGTTTGGTTGCCTAGGAAATAGAGGGACTGGAGTTGCAAATTCTGCAAAAATATTCTAGGCAACCAAACAGGGGAAAAGCCATGGCAACTAAGTTAAAAATGATGTATGAGAAAAACCTATTATATCCATTAAAAATACCTATTTCAATCTGCTCAATTGAAAGTTGTAAATTAAGGACCCAACTTCTTGGTCATCATTTTCCAGGCAACAAAACAGGGTAAAATTCAGGGGAGAATAATACTAAAATGAACTATCAGAACAAAAACGAGTAAACCCAGTTCTAAATCTTAAGGAAAAGAAAGAAAAGGCAATCAAATGTGAAATTCAGAAGCTTACTTTCGTAGAAGGCTCGAAATTGGTGTTGCAAGAGAAGCTTGAGGAAGACGAAGATGCAGAAATTGCAGTGGCGGAGACAGCCGCAACAGAGGCAGCGAAGAGTCCTAATTTCTTCATTGTTTGCGGGTAATTAGGTGCGAGAATTGGTGAGAATTGAGACTCTGAAAATCTGGGAGAGCGCAAGAAAATGTTTTCTCGGAAAAACTCTTGGAGAGAAAGTCAGAGAAAGTATGAAGAAAGCGAAACGCCTGACGGTATATATAATATAAGCCGTGAGGGGCGTGCCGCTTGGTTATTGGTAAAGAGAATTTACGCGGCAACTATACCCACCGTAAACTTCCACTGATTGAAATTACCTTTTTTACCCTCGACTTTATACATTTATATTCCATATTTCTTTATTTTAACTAGAAAAAAAAAATCTTACAAATGTATCCCTACTAAAGAAAATGGGCGTTACATGATTTGAAATCCTAATAGTGAATCTAAATTAATATATATATATATATTTTTTCAAACTTGCCCTTATGGGTCAAGTGACTCTAACTACGCTTGTAAGATTCATATCTCTTTCTTCAAGACAATAGTTCAAACCGATCCCATAACTTAAATGTTAAAAAAAATTAATATTTTTCAATTAATAAATGTTAATTAAGTTTTTATTAATGTAAATTTGTAAGAATCTAAATAATAAGTATACAAACCAATTAAATTAAATATTACGATGCTTAAACTAGACCCATTTAAAAATTTTGACTCATTTATATGGAAAAGATGTTATATCCTCTATTAAACTTAGTTTGAAGGAGAAATAATTCCTTTTACCATGAATAAATTAAAACTTAAATTCTTAATAAAATTAACTCAAAATGAAACTTCTAAACAAAACTAAAGTTTCGTATACAACACAAGTATCTCCTAAACACAGATTTGAGCATAAATATACATGCAACACAAACTATAAAAAATTTGGAGGGCTATTTGCTAATAGGAAAGTAATCATCTCCATTGCGGAGGGGAGTTACGAAAGGGCAAATTTGTAACAGAATAAAATATTGAAGGTTTCTCGCGGCACGCTGTTGTAGGAAGTGGATCATTCGTAGGGGCGACTTTTTGAGTAGTCGTGGGTTGATGATTTAAGGAGAAAGGTCAATTATTGCATTACACGTGTGTGGTGCCGATCCGTTTGACGACGCAAGCGATGCCACTTCCACAACAATCTCCATCCATAACTGCTTCTGTGCAGGACATTCGAGGTTGAGTTGGGGGCCAAATGGGAGTTTCTCATGTAAATTTCCATCATTACCCGTTTGTTCTCTCATTAAGTGACGTAGCCAGAAAATTTTTTAGGGACCAAATGAATTTTTGAAAAGAAAGACATCGTCTTGACATTAATTAAAAGGTTAATAAAAGATATATATCAACAATGTTCTCTGCAAAATGAAATGTGGACTTTCTTTTCTTTATTTTATTTTTTTTTTAAGTTTGGGAATTGAGGAAATGGGAGGGGAAATAGAGGACAAGAGGTCTATAACCTCAGTTATATAAGTGAAATACTCATATGTTGGTCACGTAGGCGACTACCAAGATTCAAATGTGGACTCTGTTTGATTGGGCTTCAGTTTTGATTTTCAGTTTTTGTTTTTTTAATTTAATAATTAGATATTACTTTATTATATTTAGAACGAGTACATTTTTAAAAATAATATATATATATTTAATTTGACTTTGAATAATAGATATTTTTTGTTTTATCTTCAAATTGAAGACAAGTTTTATTTTTATATATTTTATTAATAAGAAATAAAAATAAAGAAATAATGGGATAGATAATTAAAATTGAGAGATAATTATAAGGTTTAAACAAGAAAAAAATATTTGTTTCTCTTAAAATATAAAAATAATTATTATTCAAAGATAATTATAAATAGAAAAACATTTATTATTTTAAGATGAAAAGAGTAAATATTAGTTTTTATTAGTTGGACCTGTAAAATATAAGACAAAAAAATACTTTTAAATTTCACTGTTTTAATAAAGTACAATGAAAAATACTAAACCAATCTTTATTCATGCTCTAAAAATATGTATTATAGTGTCTTTCCATTAATTTTTTTTTATTTGATAGAACAATAGAATTTATGTTAGCTCAAATACTCCAAGAAGATGGTGAATTGGAGTCTTCAAATTTTACTTTTTTTAGTAACCACCAATGAAAAAAAAAGAGAAAAGTGAAGAAAAGTTTGCACAATTGATTTTATAGAGGTTCAACCACTTGGCACCTTCTACTTTGACTTCAGTCACCAAAGATTTCCTCCTCACTCTCCATGAATGATCGAAGTTAGCTTCAAGATGCTATCCCAAACTTTTTACAATGTGTTTTTCATTCAAACACACCCCTTTACAAAGATACCCAATAAACCTTACTTGGTTTCTCTCTTGAAGACTTCATTCACCCTTAAGTTTCACTTCTTAAAGCTTTGCTCACTCTCAAGATCATTAAAAAAAAAAACAAGCAAAGAGTAGAAAGTTAGATTTCAAAGGATATGATCTCTCTAAGATTTAATTTGCAAATATAAGTTGAAAACTTTTGAAAGGATTTGAAAATCTAAACTCAAATCTTGTTTTTAGATCTTCTAATATGTGTCTATAGACTCCCAAAGGTATTTCCCAACCATAATTATAGAGTCATCCTTGAAACTAGCCATTGGAAGTCACTTATTACATTGGAGAATCATGGATTGTTGAAATGCGACCATTGTTGTTATCAAAAGATTCTATAAAACAAGATTAGAATCATTAACCCCATAGATTTGAATCTTCAAATCAAGATTTAAATTTTCATGAAATTTTAGAACTTGGCCAATATTTGTCCTTAATCCCAAGAATCAAATATGCAACTTGAGAATCGAATATAGCCCTCTAAGATTCAATCCTTCATTTCTATATTCAGATCTACTTTGGTTCCCAGAATTTCCATACTTTTTGGTTCCAAGATTCAAATCTTCCTTAACCTATAATCAGATCTAACTTTTTGGATTTGGATCTTTAGTTCTTCAGACATCTTTAGCTCGATTGCTTCCATAATTGAATGTGCAACCTTGGGAGTCAATTCTTTAATAAATTCCTTCATGAAGATTCAAATATAGAAACCTATTTTGAAAATTTCAAGCATTTTCTGTGCTTTTCATATTTCAAATTCAAATCATTATATCTTTTTTGTTCAATGTCTGGTATGGGTGTTCTTATACTTGTTGGAAAACTAGGGATGTCTACTTTCATATGAACTCACTCTTAAACGAAAACTCTCATTGTAGACATATATATTCTTAAATGAATGAGTGGAGGTCATTATTACAATGCATGGAGGCTTATATGTGCTTTCTCTCTAAAATTCTTCCTTTTAGTCCTATTGTGATGGCCTAAATCCCACATTGGTGGGGAAGTGTGAGTGAGTTTAATATGTAAGTGTGAAAACAAACCACTATTAACAACTTAAGCTTAAACTTTTGAGGGCCTATAGACTTTAGCTTGAAGAGTTGTTGGACAAGTAATGGGCTTCAGCATGAGTTATTTTAGTTGGTATCAGAGCAGTCACTTATTGTAGGTTTGGGTCCATGCTAACCATTAAGGCTGGTGGTAGTGTGAACCTCACATCATTTGAGGTAAATCCTATGCTTGGGCTTGATAAGGACATAATTTTGTGCTTAGATTTAATGAGGATGTTAATGGGGAATTCTGAGTTTGGTATATAAGTGTGGTGACCAACCACTACCAACAACTTAAACTTTTGAGGGCTCGTAAACTTTGACCTATAGAGTTGTTAGGCCAGTGGTAGGCTTTGGCTTGGGTTGTCTAAGTTGGTATCAAAGCATTTGATTCTCACAGATATAGGCTCATGCTAACTGTCATGGCTAGTGATAGTGTGGACCTCACATCACTTAAGGTGAATCTTGTGGTTATAAGCCAGTAGGCTCAATTTTGATTGAAATTGGGCTTGATGAGGACATTAAACATTTAAAGTGGGGGAGATTGTGATGCCCCAAGTCCCACATCGGTGTAGAAATGTGAGTAAGTCTAATATATAAATGTGGAAACCAACCACTATTAACAACTTAAGTTTAAGTTTTTGAGAACCCATAGACCTTCACTTAAAATGCTTTTAAGCCAATGGCTAGTTTCAATTGGGGTTGTTTAAGTTGGCAAACCTTAGTGAGGATGTTAAGTCTTGGAAAGGGGTGTATCTAACACTCCTAGGCAAATCCCACATCGACAAAGCATAGGAGAGATGTTGGGTACATAGGTCAACACCCATTACCCTTTATTGACACGTTTTAAAATTGTGAGGCCCAATGGGCCAAAACAAACAATATTAATAATGAGTCAAGTTATTACATATGGTACTAAAGGCACTTTGTGTGACCTCTTGAATAGTCCATACACTACAAACAAAATGGCCTATACTAACGGAGCTCTATACCAACAAATGGAAGTCCGTCTGTATAGACCTATGTATACCAACGGAAAACCTAAATAGTTAGTATACATTAATCTATACCAATGGAAAAATATATCCATTAGTATAAGGTTGATTTATACCAACGGTTTATATTTATCCATCTTCCAACAATATCTATATATGTAATATCCCAAAATTTTGGGGTATTTTAGCATTAAATTGAGGACTTATTTGAGGGAAAATATTGTTTTGGGGCTTAATCGTAAAATTTTTTAAAGTGAGGGACTAAAAAGAAAGGAAATTAGGATAAGGATGAATTGCTTTTTCTTTTTCTTTTTCCTTTCTTTTCTTCCTCACCAGCCGCGTGTTTCTGCTTCTGCTCCTCCCCGATG